AAGGGAGCTTGGAAGGAAGAATCAGGGCTGGGAATGGTTGGGCTGCGAGAAGCCTGAAGAAGAGTGGAGGGTTTGCTGGCTCCTGGCCCTGGTCTGCCTTAATCTGCCCTTGCATTGTCTCTGCTGCACCCTCTGGCTGCTGCTTCGCCCAGGCTGGGGAGCTCTGTAAGATTTCACGTTCTTTTTTCATTCCCTTTCAGCTTTTTTAGGCTATGTCTGCATTGCACTTCCGTCAGTAAAATTTTTGCCGGTTAGGGGTGTGAAAAAACACCCCCGATCGACAAAAGTTTGACTGATGAAAAGCACCGGTGTGGACAGCACACAAAGCTACTGCCCCTCCTTGGGGGTGGTTTTATTTTGTTGGCAGGAGAGAGCATGGTTGTAGAGGCACAGCTAGGCTGCTGTAAGGTGTGCAGTGTAGAGACAGCTTTAGTTACGAGGAAGAGGACTGTGCCCTTTCTGAGACGGGCTCAAGCTGCAAAGCGTGTGTGTGTGTGTGTGTGTGTGTGAGTGTGATCTGTAGAACCTCTGAGCCAGCTTCTTGCTAATGTCAGCCAGGGGACAGGGTTCCTCCCCTTGAAGCTTGTAGCAGAAGAAACTGTGGGAAGCTGCCCCTGCTGCTCAGCTGTGTTTTAGTGCCCATTTGCTACAGCCCTGTGAGTGACCAGTGCAAATAGCAAACGATGCCTGTGCTCAACTGGTGAGGCACCAGGGGGGACAGCCGGGCTTTGTTAGAGCTGACTGTGTTTCCTGTCCAATGACAGGCGATAAAATCAGTTTTGTGCTAGGAGGAGGGAATCTTTCCAAGTCACCTTTCAATGGCCCCATTTTCTGCAGCAATTTTAACAATACCCAGAGACTTTCAGAAGTGTGTGTGTGTGGCAAGCCAGCCACTTTGCACTATTGAAGCTGTGCAATAAGAACCGGGGTTTGGTCAGTACATCTCAGTTTCCTATTCCCCCCCCTTTCCAAAAACTGTAAATCCCAGCTGCGTCACAGAGTTAAACAGGCTGCAAAGTCAAGTCAGAAAGTGTGTGTGTGTGTGTGTGTGTGTGTGTGTGTGTGTGCGTGCACGCAGGGATGGGAGGGGGAGGTCTAGGCCAGAGGAGATGTGGTCTGAAATGAGAGTTGAAAACAGAGCGGGAGTGTGTGCATGTGGCAGTGAGAACAGGGAGGCTGTGTCACAGGGTCTGCTGCAGAGGGGGAGATTCTTGCACCCAGAGAGTTAGTGAGCCGGGTCAGAGAGGGAGGTGGGTGCTACAGGGGCAGAACAGGCTGGAGCAATACAGGGCAGCACATTTGCACCTGTGAGTTTTTGTCCCCAAGTGACAGCCTCTCCCACCCGTTATATTGGGGATCCACCAGTGCAGAGGCCCAGAGCCCACTGAAGCCTGTTCCTCAGGGAACGGAGCTGTGATGAAGTGGAGCAGATGGTAAGTGCTTGGCATGATGTGGAGCAGAACCTCACTTTGCCAGTGGATGAGGAGGTGGGTGGCTAAAGCTGGCAGCCACCCAGCAGGGCTGGTGCTGGAGGGAGCTCTCTCATTCCAGGGGCTGTAGGATGCTCCAAGACATGCCAAGCACTAGCTGTGATGCTTCTCAAGGCACGCAGGGCTGTGAGCTTCCTTGTTATTACCTGCCACCAGCGCAAGGGAATCTTGCTGGGTGTTAATTCCCTAACACAGCCAGCCTGTCAGTCACTCACGCACTCTCCTCTGGGCTACACCTGTCCTGTCTATGCCTGGGAGGTTGACAATAGATGCACTTCAACTCCTTTGTCCCTTCAAAGTGTCCCCTGGTGGTATCCAGCCCCTACTCGGTCGCTGGATAACCACAGAAATCCCAGCTGCTCTATTCCCCAAGGAACAGTGTCTTGTCATTTACCAGTTTCACCTTAGCCAGCCGCTCCTGTATCCCATACTGCACTTGAGTTCCATTCCAAAACAAAAAGACACAACATCACGGCACATGCTAAAGCCTAAATGGTACGAACAAGGACTCCTCTGGTCTGAGGAAGCACATCTCACCCAAAGGTCTCTCCAGCGCTTTCAGCCAAGCCAGGCTGAGATCCCCCTTTGCATGAAGCAAATTCTCTGTCCATTCGCGTCCCAGGTGAAGGATGCTAGGGTGTATCTTTGTGCCCCTAAAAATACCAGAACAAGCCTTTGGGTTCATGTCAAGATAGGGTCCCTCTGCCCCCTGCTGTTTACTTCTTCCTGTTAGTTTCCTTCTCAAGCCTCCACCAGCTCTTCATTAACATTTGACTTAGTATGTTAATAGACCCCTATTGTATGACAAACAATACACAATGATCTACCCTGGAGAGCAGTGCCCCCCTCCCCCAGTTTATCTCAAGAGATGCGTGCCCTAGAGAACATGCTGTTGCTGTTTAGTAAGTATGTAACCATATCTCTGTACATGCATCTCACAATGGTTATAATGATTAGTGTGACACAGGCTTTTTCTAGGCACATTACAGGATGTTCTTGGGGTGAAGCAAGGAGATCCCTGCACCCCGTTATACCCCAGTGCGCTCTGCAAGTTACCATCCAGAGGTTCTTGGGTCACGCTGGTTTAGTTAAAGCTAACCTGCACCAGTCCAACTCCTGCGGCATCATTCTTGGGGGTCGAGGGGTGTGGTTTGTTCACTAACTCACAAATTTCAGTCATTCCTCCTAGGTCTTCCTTTATTGGGACAAACGGGGTCTGCTGCATGGTGTGCACTACAGCCAGGGGCTGATGCAAGCCACAGAAGTAGGATTCAGATTTCCATTACACTGAGGCCGTTAATGTTTAAGCACGGGGAGCGCGCTGCCATTCATTCACCCTCTCTGCAACTGGCGTTTAGGCTTTGCTGGCAGGCAGACAGCGTTCCAGAAGTAGGATTCAGATTTGGGCTTGATTTGAGGCTGTCTCCAGCCAATGATGCTAAGACCCGAATTCCAGGGGTCATACCTCGGTCTGCTTTAAAGAGACAAACAATAGACCTGGTGTCAGTAAATAGCCTGTAACCCTGGCACTCAGACCCTGTGCTGATCAGCACCTGGCATAAATCCCCAGACAGACAGACATGCTGTCCTCCCACCCCCTCACTGCAACTATTGCTTCTTGCTTATGCAAAACAGAAGGAGAAACCATTTTATGACAAGGACAAACATTCTGAAATGCGCCCCAGCAGTTCCTCAGGGCCAGGGTTTTAGTGTGAGACCTTGGTATCACTGAGGCTGTAATTAGAGCTGATTAGATTCTCAGGCCTGGTCTACACTAGGACTTTAATTCGGATTTAGCTGCCTTAATCCGAATTAACCCTTCACCCGTCCACACTACAGAGCCAGTTAATTCGAATTAAAGGGCCCTTTAAATCGATTTCTGTACTCCACCTCGACGAACGGAGTAGAGCCTAAATCGATTTTGTTAATTCGAATTAGGGTTAGTGTGGACGCACACCACCGAATTACTGTGTTTAAGTTAATGGGGTAGTGTGGCCGCACACCACCGAATTAATGTGGTTTAAAACCGAATTAAGGTGCTTAGTGTGGCCGCGCACAATCGAATTTATACAACCTGTTTCCCAAATTCGAATTATCTAAATTCGGATTAATCCTGTAGTGTAGACATACCCTCAGAGCTGGCCTAGGACGGTGTTTGTCAGGCTATTCAGCTAGCTGGCTAGGTTCTTCCACTGCTGCCCAGCATGGTGGTGTCAGGGTGTGTTCCCTGGGGGCTCTGGGAATCGGGTGCAGAAAGAACTCCCTGGGGTAGGTTTCAGAGGGGTAGCCGTGTTAGTCTGTATCAGCAAAAACAACAAGGAGTCCTTGTGGCACCTTAAAGACTAACACATTTATTGGGCATAAGGTTTCGTGGGCTAAAACCCTCTTCATCAGATGCATGGAGTGAAAATTTTAGCCCACGAAAGCTTATGCCCAAATAAATTTGTTAGTCTCTAAGGTGCCACCAGGACTCCTCGTTGTTTTTTCCCTGGGGCAGGTTCCACTCTGTAAGCACCATAACAGTAATCGGCTGGGATGCGTGACTTGCTGGTCACTGATTGCCAGAACAGAACAAACTGCACTTAACAGACTGCTCAGCATTTAGCCTCTGGCTGCTGGGGAGAGGGGAGGTTTACAGACCTGGGGGGGAGAGGAGTCAGCGCGAAGCGATCTGCGTATGCAGACAGCATTGGCAAAACCAATGGCATGGACTGGACTGCTGCCTGATTGTGTACTTCCAGTTCCAAATGAGGTGTGCGGCTAACTGGTCAGTTTGTAACTTTCTGGTGTTCATAACTCTGAGGTTCTACTGTATCCTCTCCGAAGGACTGGGACTGGGGCAGGCTGCTCCATCAGCAGCTCAGAGGCTGGGCCTGCAGAAGGGCCAAGCAATGCTGAACTCTGGCCTGGCCTTAGTGGGACCCCTCTCTCCCTGCCAAGCTGCCAGTGTGGTGGTGGGGTAGGATTTCCCTTCCCCTCCTATGTTGCTAGCCAGTAGCCAGCCAAGAGACATGATCAAGGGATCAGAGCCAAGGGCCGGAGCCAGGAAATCCCACAGCTCTGCCTCACTGGGTGACCTTGGCCAAGTCCCTTCCCCGTGCCTCAGTTTCCCACCGCAACATGGAGATAATGACAGGACCCAGCAGGCAGAGCTTGTGGGGGCTGGGTAGGAAGGTTGCCAAGCACCTGGAGAATGAAAAGTGCCCTAATTGGTTATCAGCCCTTCCCCTCTCCCTGCTGAGGCTGTCAGAGCCGAGATGCCCCTCGCTGAACTCCATTGACCTTTCAAACAGGCTGAGGATGCATCTGGCTCAGCCCCTGCTCTCCGTGTGAACTGGAGAGAGCTGGTTGCAGGGGGTTGTTCTTTCCTTTGCCCCTCAAGGTGTCTGATGTTTCCAAAACCTGGGTCTGGGCCATGTGCCTCACCTTGTGACTGGGATAAACATTACACTGAGGCCGTTAATGTTTAATGACGTTTGTCCCCCGCCCCCCCATTAATGTGCTTTCCCGGTGGTACACACGCCCAGACCAAGGCACCCACTGGACGGCTCGCTGGGAAGATGGCTGACGGTAAGGGTCTCGCTGCTCTTCAGCTCCCAGGGACTGTCGGAGGCAGGCTGTGCTCTGCCAGGCTGTACCTGGGAGCACGGGGAGCGCGCCGCCATTCATTCACCCTCTCTGCAACTGGCGTTTAGGCTTTGCTGGCAGGCGTGGCAGGCAGACAGCGCTCTGTGCTTAGGCAGGCAGACAGACGTGAATGCTCCTTTAGCAGGGAAGCGTTCCCAGTGCTCTTAGACGTGGGGGCCTAAAGCCCCGGTTAGACATCTAAATCAGCAGAGTGGTTTGATTGTCAAAGGCGCCGAGCACAGGCTGCTCTGCGGGTGGAGCCTTCGCAGGGCCTCAGGAGCCGGCCATTAGGCTCTCAGGTGGGCAGATTTGGGCTGATGCTTTTAGATGCCTTTTCCTAGTGCTTGGAGTGATCTCATCCTCTCACATGGAAAGAGGGCTCTGGAAACCCCCTAAGGATTCAGGAGAGATGCTCACATAACCCCAAGAGTTTTGCCCTCGGTCGGCAGAGGGAGCAGTAGTTCTAGGAAGGGTCAGTATTTTCTAGAGGGATTTTCCCTTCCCAGTTGTTCTCACCATAGGACTCTGTGGCAAGTGAAGGGGACCGCGCAGAGAAGAGCGGCACAGGGACAGAATGAGTGGGTCAGCGCAGCTGAGCAGAAAGCAGTCGTTCCTGTGCTGTGCTACTGGGCAGTCGGCAGGTCAGCTGAGCTCTGCCATTTCACCGAAGGGAGTGGGAATTGCCGTCGGGGGTCAGGGTCAGATTGCAAGCGGGCACTGTGTGAAACCTGGGTGTCGGTGATGTAACACCCACAAGTGGTGGCTGATTTGTGCAAACACAGGTTCCTAGACACCCTGGAGCCATTCAGAGGGACACAGGCTAACCAGTAAATCTGCCCATGGTTAAAATGGAGATTTGAATCTGTGACAATTCTAGCACTTTCCTTTTCATCTCTCTTTTTCTGTCTTATTCCCCCAACCCCCATGTGCCCTGTTTGGAATGCAGTGATTAACAAGCCCCCCCGGCCCCACCTACAAACAAAGCCAGCACTGTAAAAGGCAAGGTGGTGGTAGGCAGATGAATAAGAGTCTGAGTTGTTGGCTGTTTTCTACCCAGTGCTCCACAGTCCCCTCCGCGTGCGTGAGAAATAATTGAGTTGGAAAGGCAGGTTAGAAGGTGAATATTGAATGTGCCAGTGACTGGTGGCAGCTGTGTAATTCTACGCAGGTTAACCTTTTCCTCCTCCTCCTCCTGAACACGTTGCTTTAGACCCGGTCGAGATTGGAACTTGCCCAAAGTTTAAGGGGTGTTTGGATCCACCCAGGAAGTTTGACTCTGGAAACCAATTTCCCCCCCAAATCCCAGGGACATGGAATCCAACCTGCCTCTAGCTGCTTCCCGTGATGGAAAATGGTCTGAAAAAAATAGCAGTTTCCTGAGGACTCTTTGGAAAGCCAGTCATGCTCCCCAAGGAGCACGTAGTCTGTGAAATCAACCGTGTCCTTACTCCACCCCTGCTCCATTCTCCATTGCCCTCACGGCCTGTTCCCCGCACAGAGCTCTCTCTGGGGACCAGGGACCCTGCTAGGTTTTACGACTCCCCCAAGACGCCGCGCCCAGTGCCCAGGGCGCTGGGCTGTGCAGATGCCTGGCAAGCAGCAACAGTTACAATCTGTCCGTTCGGAGCAGGTTGTGGTGATCTGTGACTGTAGGCTTGCAGAGCAGATCTGTTTGGGAGACCGAGGACTGGACTAGCAGGGAGGGCCTGTGGGTCAGAGAGGAAGTGCATTGGCACACATGTTCAGGAGAGAAAGGGCTGGAATAATGGGGGAGGGGTTGGGGGGAAGAGAAAGGGCTGGAATAATGGGGGGCGGGGCGTTGGGGGAAGAGAAAGGGCTGGAATAATGGGGGGGTTGGGGGGAAAGGGGGCTTCAGGTCTAAGCTGAAGGGTAGATTTTGAAACATGCTGTTGAAAATGAATCATACCCACATTGACCTGGGGCAAGTGGACAGAGGGAGGGGAGGTACACGGGACTCGCAGACTCTCTGGCACTTGGACGCAGTGAATTTGGGGCCGGTGTGTCATGGTAGCTGTGGAAGCCACTGGGAGCTGGTCTCATGGGCTAGGGTAGGGTCTATCCCCGGCATTCCCAGTCTCCACTGCCAGCAGCCCCACGAGATCCCACAGGGCTTCACCATCAGCCAGTCAGAATGTGGCGGCTGTGGCCTGGGATCACCATGCCCCGAAGGCTCTCCTTGGCTGCCATGGGCAGGGACGGATCAGCTGTTTCCCCAGCTCTCCCCTGGAGCCCTGGGCACTGTTCAGGAGACATGCCCTCCCCGGGGCAGCTAGGCTCAGAGTCTGGGGTGCGGGGAGCCCGTTCCACAGCCGCTGCCTCGTGTCGTGGAGCTACGATACACCAACAGCTTTGGGACCCCACCGGCTCCTCACTGACCTGCTCACTCTTCTTCCAGAGATCGTCCCAGAGCAGGTGCCTGACAAGTTCACCTACGGTAAGACTCTCCTCTGCGCCCTCCCACGAGGCCCTGGCTACCCCGGCCTTTGGTCTGTAATTCTTTGTCCAGGGGTACGGGTCCGCCTGTGCTCCAAACACCCTGGAAGAGACGGCCCCTGCCCGGTGTCAATAGGACGGAGCGGGAGGGCTGTTGGCCCCTGGGTGCTGGCAGGGAACTGAGGCAGATTCAGTGACTCGCTCCCGGTCACACAGGGAGTCTGGGATGGGCCAAGGATTGAGCCCAGATCTCGCCATGGCCCTTAGCCCCAGGCCAACCTTCTGCCCTGTGGTTAGCCCCTGGATCTGTAGGCAGCGCCAGCCCCAGTAACCATCCCGTAGCCAGGGGCACAGCTCTGTGAGCTGTGGGTAGCTGCGTTTGATGCCTTTGGTGGCACGCATACATGTCACACACGTCTCACAGAGGGCCCGGGGGGGCCTGACACCCAGCTGCGTGGCACGGGGAGTCAGAAGCAAAGCCCTTCACGGCGCTGTTCGAAGGCAGCAGCCCAAGCCCAGCTGCTGTTGGTGCTGGAGCTGCGGTGAAGGCCTGGGCCGCCCCAGCGGTAGATGATCACTCTTGCTCACCCAAGAGCTTCAGAGCTCGGTGAGATGCGACTCTCCCCTCCCCCAGCCCAGCTCCCTTTGCTCCGCCAGGCTAACAGGTGTCTCTCTCTCGTTCCGAGATTACGAGACCATTCGGAATGGGGGGCTGATCTTCGCCGTGGTGGCTTTCGTGTTCGGACTCCTCATCATTCTCAGTAAGTGTCACTAGTGGGGGGCTGCAGACCGGTCTCCCACCACCCCAAAGGCTGGGGTCGCGTGGGGGCTCTTCTCTGCTCCCCACCACTGTGCTGCATGGGGCTGCCCAGTTCACGGGAAGGGAGGGGAGGGTGCATCTGTGCTTTGTGTGTGTCACAGCCTGGGGGCCGGAAGGTCCTGCTAACATGCATGGCAGAGGGGCCTAGGCTTAGCCCTGAAGAACCCCAGCAACAGCAGTTCCATGATCTGTCAGCTACGCTTAGAGCTTCAACTTTCCCTGAAATGTTTAACCTGGCCTCCCCGCCCCTCGCTCCGCCCTGGGCTTGGACATCAGTGAGAACAATGGTCTCTGTCTCCCATATCTCCTCTCTGCTTTGTTCTCGCTGCAGGAGGCCCCACTGAGCCGGGGGCCAGAGGCTGGGTACCTGGCTCAGAACTTAGATGCAGATTTGGGTGCGTGTTAATCTTTAGTAGAAGCTGGTAGGAAAATTTCCATCAAGGCAAGATTCCAACAGAAAATGGGGGTGGGGTGGGGAGGAGATTGTGCAAATATTTGCAGAAGCAATTTTGCATTTTCCTGCCAGCTTTAAGGCTCAGGGTGAAAAGGTCACCAATTAAAAATGGGAGCAACAAAATCTGACATTTCTAGAGGCAGAAACCAGGTTTTCCAAAGGGCTCCACTCCTGCAGACTCCCTGGTGACCCAACATGCTGGGCTGTTTTGCAAACCTAGACACTTTGCCCACTGCTGACATGCAGCCAGCTCCGGGATGAAACACAATAGACATTTAACAGTGCACAACACTATCGGGAAGAAAGGGGAGGAGAAAATTGTATGCACTTGAAACTGCAGTAGCAGTTTCGAGAGAGACGCAGAGTGGAACTACCTGGGGTGGAGTTCGGCCAGAAGGACTGGGTCAGCCTCCTGGCCTCTGTGCAAAGTGCCATGGACTCTTTAATAACCTACGCCATGCGTCTCACCCACTAACCCCAAACGCTGCGCACTCTGCAGATGGGAATAACAGCGTATTCCATGTGGGTTCCAGACGCACGGCGGCTCTCTATAGCTGTGCTCAGGGCACTCCCAGCAGGCAGGCAGCCTTGGCTCTCTCAGCTGGTGTCCATGCTTGGCTGGGCCTTGTGGGGACCTTTGGCTGAACAGGGCGTTTGTTCAGAGAGCTCAAGGAGGCTGAAATGTCCCATTAGCACCCACAGGACGGTGAGGGAGAGCCCAGAGCACATTCCCAGAGTGCACCTCCCACCCGGCTGGGCAGGGGCAGGCGGCACGGGAGTCAAACAAGGAGGAAAATAACTACATCACTAAACCAAGACCTGGTGGCTCGAAAACAAAGCTAGGGGTCAGTCCAGAGACGGGCACGGTTCTGACCCCACCCACCCCCAGTGCCCGAGGGCTGGCTGGCCCCACAGCTTCGGGGACCCCAAGCCAGACTCCGGTGTGCCTGCTGAACCAGGGCTGTGCCTAGAGTTCCCACCACTGTGGGTGGGGTGGCCTTGGTCCCTATGCGATGGCTGCAGAGGCCATGCCGAGTTGAGGAGGCAGAGGCTGCAGGGGAGGGGCTCTTTGCCCCACAGAGACAGCAGGGTTATTGTATCAAAGAGAGAGGAGCAGCAGAAGGTGGGTGGAAGCCTGAGAGCAGTGAGGGGGCGTGTCGGCCAGGGAGCACCAGGGTGGGGCCAGGGAGCACCAAGGTGGGGAGGGCCAGGGAGCACCGGGGTGGGGCCAGGGAGCACCGAGATGGGGAGGACCAGCACAGCCAAGGCGAAGGAGGCCTCAGACGCTTTCCCTTGTTTCCAGGTCGGCGGTTCCGCTGCGGAGCAAAGAAGAGAAGAAGGTTGGTGTTCTTTTAAATCGTCCAAGTCAGTCAGCCCATGTCTTCTCTTTAGTGGGAGTCTGTAGATGGTTCGAGGGCCGGAGACATTCACTTTCCCCTTGTCTGCTTTGGCTCGTGCTGATGCTACTTTCTCTCTCTTTTCCGTCTGTTTCCTTAGACAAGGTGACGATGACGAGCTGTAGCTGCAGGTACGTGGAACAGAGGGAGAGCAGCGGGGAGTGGGAGGCAGCGTGGATAGCAGGGCTGTATGGTGTATCAGGCTGGCAGTGATGCCTGATGCACTGCACCATTGGCAGGTGTCCATCCTGCTAGGAAAGGGTTAAGTGGGCTCTGCTGACTCCCTGGGGCAGGAGGCTCAGTACCCCACTGGGACATAAGGGAAATGGGAGGGATTCTCTGGGAGGCAGAGGATCTAGGGTGTGGACTGAGCAGCCTAGAGAGAGGAGTCCTAGGAGCTTCCCCGCCTGCGGAGAATGTCTAAGTCTGAGCTTTATGCACGTATCTATTTTGTAGGTAACAAAGCCAAACCCCAGGGAAGGGTTGGGGCTGGACTCTACCTGCTGCGTGGGCTGTATCTGTAGAGCAGTTTGGGAGAGGTACCTGCTCACAGCGCTGCTGTTTAAGTCCAAGGCCAGGACGTGGGGTGGGGGTGGAGGGGAAAGGATCCAGGTGGCACAAACCTTTTTGGATCTGATCCAATGTGAGGAAACAGTATTGACATCCACACAGTGCAGCGGCAACCTGGGACGAAAACTTCTCAGCCAATCAGATGGCTCAACGGGCAGAGAATGGGATTGCCCGGTAGGTGTGGCCTATCTGTGTGTGTTTGTGCAAGAGGAGTGCCGCATGCACCAGCAGGGGGCGCAGCCCTGAGCTGAGAACTAGTCTGCAGGTATCTACTGCCCGGCTGATTTAACTCTTTCTATTATTTCTTTCCAATTCCAGAGCTGCCTGGACTGTCTGGAAAGAGGCTTCCTGCCCAGTGCCCTGTCGGGGGTGGGGGGAGTTCTCGCCAGGAGCCAAGCCCCTTGCACCGGAGACATTAACCCTCTCAGCCCTGCACCTCTATACACACCATTGTCATGGCTTTCCTTTGTAAAATCAGTTCAGTGCTTCTTTGCCTCAATAAAGCTTCTGCTGAGAGAGGGTTAAAGCTTGTCCCCAGGTGGGTTTGAGTCAGCCGGTTTCTCTGCCCGGTACCAGTTTCTTTTTCTGTCCAGAACCATCAGACAATTCTGAACACAAACCCAGCAGGTAAAATCCCTCCCCCTCCATCCCCATAAGCATTGAGCTTTAACCTTTTAAGTGAATGGCCTAAGTGCCAGAGGGGGAGGTATTCTGAGCTGGGCGCTCCCACAGTCTCTCCTGTTGAAGCTGGTCCACCTTCATTAAATGATAATTGGGGCAGTCCCAGTCGTCCAGTGGTTTTAGGTACCTCCCCCCAGATCAGTGAGTTGCTGGTTGAGATGGGATTTGAACATTGCTGTCTAACCTCTCAAGTGAAGGGTGTAATTGCTGGGCTGGGAGGTATTCTGACGCGGGGCTCCCTCAGTCTTTTCCATTGACACTGGTCCACTTTAACTACACCTCTACCCCGATATAACGCCACCCGATATAACATGAATTTGGATATAACGCGGTAAAGCAGCGCTCCGGGGGGGGTGGAGGGGGGGGGCTGCGCACTCCGGCGGATCAAAGCAAGTTCGATATAACGTGGTTTCACCTATAACGCAGTAAGATTTTTTGGCTCCTGAGGACAGCGTTATATCGAGGTAGAGGTGTACATAATAACTGGGCTAAAGCTTGCCTCCATGGGCACTTCTCTGGGATGTGAGTGACCCTGGTTCAAATCCCCCGTCTGCCTCAGTGGAGGGGGTCTGGTGCCTGAGGTGCAGGCCCTTGTAAATTGACAGTGGACTATACAGAGCAGCTCTTGCTGGTTTAATTAATGAGTAATGGTGGCCATACAAAAGACCCAAATCCCTCTCTTGTCCCCAGTGGATAGGATACACACGCAGGCTGTGGCAGAGCCCAGGTCACTCCCCTTCTCTGCTGAGGGGTGTGAACTGGGGGCTCCCACCTCTCAGGGAAAGTCAGAGATGGGCAAGCCCTGTCTGAATCCCCTCTCTGTCCCAAGGTGACAATGGCCTCCTGAGAAAGGGAGGGGGCTCAGACCTGGATGTCACACCCCAAAGGGCAATCACCGAGGAGGCAGGAAATCCCTGTGCAAACTCCCGGGATTTGAGCCAGCCTCTCCTACAGCCCAAGCTAGTACCCTAACCCCAGACTATAGAGCGAGTCTGACTTTTGGCCTGGCCTGAAGAACAGTTAAATCAAGTGGAACAACTTCAAAAGGCAAGAGTGAGGGAGCCCCTCAGCACTATCCCCCAACGCGCACACCCAGGCTGCAGGAGAGCTCTCTTCAAATTGCTTC